TTCTCAAACAAACACACACAGAGGAGAGAGAGCGCATATATATATATATATATATATATATATATATATATATATATATATATATATATATATATACACTGCTTATCATTGTTTTACTTATATTTCTTACCAAAGAAAACGACAATAGACAATAGAACCTCAGTCACAATAACAACTATAGTAAAGATTGATGTGCTGAAATATTTCACAAGGTTTCAGCACTCTTCACACTGACTTAGATGGAAAATAGCTTCAAAACTGCAATCTGAAAATGCAAAGCTGGTTGCAGTTCTGCACAAATTCTGCTCTCCACCTACTTCAAGTTCTGGGATTATGTATTTCACTTTGGTGTCTACTCCATACGTTTATTACCCATCTCCTCCACTACTCGATTTCGCCACAAAAGTAACAACTATAAACTCAATAATCTCAGACATAGATTCCTTTCGTGACATCTCAAGTTTTGTTTTTTTTTTTGTTTGTTTTTTTCAGACATTATTTAAATTATGGTTCTTCTATTCGTTTTTTTCCTCAACATTTTGACCTCATTCTTTGTGTTGCCGAGCATTTCCCTTGGTTTTATTTTTTGTAATTTCCGAACTGAATGGCAAACCGGTCGTTCACGCAGCGGAATGTTGCCGGCTGCACCTCCCAGTAGTTCACAGGGTTTTCAAACAGGCTGATGCCGTTATAGTACGTCCTCTTCATCCCAAACCCTCGGGGGCAGAAGTCGTCCACGCCCACCTGGCTGATGTTATTGGAGTGGAGATACACCACCTTAAAAACAAAGCAAGACGATAAGTTAGAACTGGGCAAAAAAAAAATTTAAAATCTGGTAAAAACAAAACGTTATTCAGGCTAACCTGCAGGTACTTCATGTTCGGGAGGCCTTTGGGAACGCGTGTGAGCCGGTTGTTGTCCAGATGCAGCTCCCTCAGCATGGGCAAAAATGACAGGCTGCCATTCTCTATGTTGAGGATATGGTTAAAGCCAAGACCCAATCTAGAAAATGAAAGAAGAGAAAAAAAGTTTTAAATTCAAAAACCAGTGACTTGCTCTTAGAACAAATTCCACTCTTCACTTCTTGAGTGGTCATCAAAGCACCAAAGTGCTTCCCCTTAGTTGGGCATAGAAGTGGCCATCTATAAAACAGTAGTTCAATTCTTTTCTTCAGAAAAGAAATTTAAAAAGGCAACCAATTTGAATTTGTGCATTTCGCATGGGACCTTCTGACATTTAACCACCATTAAGCACACGGGTTGATTATTAAAATAGAGACTTGACATTTTAGAGAAGCAGATCTATTAACATTTGTGCTTTTAAGTTTTGCAATATTTATGATATGAAAAAACGTTTCTAAAGGTAATTACTAGGAACCTTTTTTTAACATCGATTACGCAAAAAAAAAACAACTGCCGAGACAAACTATTTAAATTGAGACATGCAAATAAGAAAGATTAAAATGACATACCGAACCATTTTGCATTATTAGATAGTTCATTGGAACATATTAAGAAATGCCTCTACTGTGGTTGAGGACACACAATACATTTCAAAGTCTAAAGTCTCCACTAATTCTTATAAAACAACTATTTAGTTATTCCCACGCCCTGAAATCCATCTCAACTCTGAGCTCCCAGTTGTAAAGATTACACCAACCACTAATGGCTTCCATACTGCGAGGAGAATCGCACACTGTTAGTTGTGTTGTTCGGTTTGTTTAGCTAAATGACTCCCGTCCCGTCATACTGGAAGCATTTCAGTCAAAGGGAGGAGCATCAAAGAAGCTGTAGATCATGGGTTAGATTTAATTATCATGTTGAGTTTCCCTTATCTTTATTAGTGCTCCTCTTTGAAGGTTAATGTGAGGCAATTGTGTTTGTTTTGAAGGCTTAGGATTTAATGAACACAGCCCCAGTCATGACCATAGTATTTTTTATTTTTTTTTATTTTTATTTTTTATGATACTTGCTGTGAACTCTCTCTACAGTGATTTGCAATGCATACTTTGGGAATTGGAGGGGAAATAATTTGTGGTCTTAATTTTTTTTTTTTTTTTTTTTTTTTTAGAAAATAAAAATCTAAAAAGAGTTACATGCACTTGTTTCCAGCCCCAGATTAATTGGTTTTATAACTTTGTGTTTACGCATTTGTCAGACAGTCAACAAATGAGGATATAAAAGTGCAGTTGACATCTAAGCTGACAATAAGCTACTGCTGCTTTGCAGAACCTCCTTCTGCTGCAATTACAAGTGGAAGCCTACCAGCTCTGCACATTTGGAGTCTGAAATTTCTGCCTGTTATTCTTTTCGAAATGTTTGTCATATTTGAAAAATACGTATTAGGTTTCGACCATTCAAAGACATAATTATGCTTGGTTTTAAATACAATAACTGTAGCTCTGGCGGTATGTGTAGGGCGGTTTCACATCAGTTTCAAGTTTCTGAAACTACAACTTTCCTTTCATCCATCTTTCCATGAATTATGATCAGCTTTCAACCCACCTGCAGCATCATATTACTGTAAAAATTAAAATGACAGACCTGCCCAAGAAAACCAATATGCTGTTTATGTGTAATATTTCCCCTCATTCCATCTAAGTTTGTCATAGATGACAAATTACTTTGTACTTTGTGTTGAGAAGAGCATGCTAAGTGACAATGGAAATCCCTGCTTGTTGTTATAACTTTTTTTTGAAAAAAGTACTTCTTTGAAAATATGGACTGTGGACACTGACGTTAGTGTTAGAAACATCTGTGGTAGCTGCAACATGTTGTGGTCTGAGATGGTATTTTAGACTTCTATAGTGTCTTCAATAGGATAATTCTTTTCCATACAATTTGCACACAAAAATAATATTTTCCAGCGTCCCATTAGATTGCTTTTTGAAGCAAAAATTAACCAAATGTGTGCTAAGAGAAGCGGCTTTTGTTGTTCATCGCTGCTTTTTGCGGATATTGTTTGTGCGTCAAATTTATCGGCGTACTGGAAACATGCGAATGCAAAGGTTCCAGCCTTAACCTTTGTTTGTAAAAAAAAATAAAATGAGATAAATTGTGTTAAAATGTTTAGCGTGTTTAAAATCTGTGTAATTGATTAATCAAAATTAATGAAATTTGATTAGTTGCAATCAAACCATGCCCCAGTTATTTTAGTCAAGAACTCTTGCTAAGATTTGAAAAGTTAATATTGTGGTTTGTGACTGGTTTTCAGATGGAGATCAAAAACAGTCAAAACAGTTTGATGTCTAGGTGTGAAAAATACCTGTGGAGGTTTTTGTAGCGGCTCAGGTCCTCCAGTTCCACAGCCTGGATCTGGTTGTGGTCCAGATGAAGCTCATGAAGACTGTCTGGAAGATCTAAAGGTCAAACCCCAAACATTTGAGTTACACAGCATGAAAGTCAAATAAAACTGTTTAACATCTGAAAGGTTAATGCATGCAAAAAGATAAGTAAAATTAAACAAGGCTGAAGGTTTTTGGAGAGGTTAGAATAGCTTCAGGGAAACCCAGAGCCAATCCTTTAAATAGTCCACAAACTTTTGTTTCTAAATTTCTTGGACTTCAATCAAAATATCTGGCTTCCAACCTTTAGGCACTCCAGTAAGCTTGGCCTCTGATATGCGCAGATAATTTAATTTCAGTCCTTTAAAGGCTCCAGGCTCAAAACCACTGTTCTGGATAGGGTTTGCTCCCATTTCTGCAAGATAAAGTCAATATTAAAGCCATGAAATAAACTTTTCTCCCTTTAATTTACCAAGTCCGTGGTGGTGCCACACATACTGTGGCGAGTACCACAGAGTATCGCCGGGATTGTTGAAGTCATCGGCATTTCTAACCTATGCAGTGCATGTTGCCCAGTCCTGAGAAGGATCCAGCTGCCACCTTCTTGATGCGGTTCTCATGAATCCTCAGCTCAACCAGAGAGGCAGGCAGGTTTTTGGGGATGGCGGCCAGCAAATTCTTTGAAAAGTAGAGCTTCTGCATGTGCTTCAAAGGGGCAAAAGCCTTGGGATGGACTTTGGAAATCTTGTTATTCCTCACAGAGAGTGCCTAAAAAGAACAACAAATGAAAGCACAAAGTCAAAAGCTCTGCATTTCATACGGATAAGATCTTCATTAGGATTCTTTTTTTAAAAAGTGGATGTAGAAGAACATAAAGTTGTATGCAGAGTGCACAAAAGCTCCTTTATTTAGTCTCTGCTTGTACTGTAGTGATCCATGCAAGGTATAATCTGGTAAGGCTAAAGCAAATGCGCAAAGATAGTGAGCATTTGCTTTACTCAGGAAGTTCATAAACTGCCAGACTTAATATTTCTTTTGGTCAGGGATCTTGAATGAGGGTCAGTCTTGAGTAAAGCCTTTTTGCTTGGAAGTCCTCCACACTCCAAATTGGTCACGTTTTAACACAGTTAAGGTTTTCTGTGAACTGAGTGAGAAACAGAGGTGAAATAAACTTCTAAATCCCAAAGAAGATGAGGATCAAGCTGAACTTCCACAAAAATAAAGCCAATAAAAGCTGCAGCTGCAAAAACTTCAAGAGGTCAGTAAGGAGCAGAGCATTATGAACAGATGCAGACTGTGTGTGTCTCTTACATATAAGTTAGTAAGGCCTTTGAAGTCATTTTCTTTTAGCTCAGTGATACGGTTGTTCTGCAAGTCCAGGAACTTGGTGTCTGGAGGAATATTCCTGGGCACCTCTGTCAAACCTGAAGACAAGACCAACAAAAACAGAAAAGAGAGTCATCCTCCATTAAATGCTTCCCATGGTGAGAGTCAACCAACACCCAAAAACCAGTTTGTTTTCAAAAGAAAACCTCAAAGGGTATTTCACACAGACACACGGTTTTAAAAAATAAATAGGTGCACACATCACAGCCCCGTATAATCTTAAATGACTACTTTCGTGCTATTTTAATAAAAAGGTTGACATTGACGCATACTAGGAGGTCACACGTAGACATCTACAGTAGCAAGGGGACAGACTCACAAACACAGTCTCTCAGAAACATGAACTCCCCTAATGCCAGATGGGGAAACCAGATGTTTTCCATCTGGTTTCCATTTGACATAAGTCACAAAGGATGGGACCGAAACGCCATAATCTAAGGCACACATCAAATAAAAAGTATGGGTGTAAAATGAACACATAAAATGAAAACACAAGCTGCGTGTGTTAATGTGCAAGTGGTGAAGTATTGTGATGTTAAGAACAAGTGTCTTCATTTTGTCATTTTTGTCCCTGAAAATCAAAAGCAGTTGCACTTCCTGGGGACATATTACAGAGGGAGGTTGAGCTTCTTTTTCATAAAGCTTATAGTTAAGAGTGGCTCAGGTTATATCCTAAGCTATAGTTATATCCTAAAGGTGCTATTAGAGTTACAGACTACTTTACTTTTCTACACTTCATTTTTGCATTAGTCACAGCTATTGTTGCAATTACTTTTATGTTCTGTCCCTATTTTTCTTTCTATATAAGACATACTTAGTTGCTAAGTGCTCCCTGTTTATCTTTTCCATAGAAAGTAGGCGTGGCCCAGCAATTCTAACTTTTGTCTTTGTCTCTGTTTTTTTATTTTTATATATATCAGTCTAACCTGTAGTCAGTCACGCCAGAGAGCTACAGATACTGAAACTGGTTCTGTTTTGGGTTTTCAGCCTGTGATTGGAGAGTGGTTTCTCTCCACAGTTGCCACAAGTCGTTCAACTACTAACTAACACATCACCACATATAGTTTATTACTTTTGCCTTGAAGTGTGACTATTTAACTATCCCTAACTGAAATAAATTCATGGTGTTGTACTCCAGTAGCTCTTGTAGCATCCCCACCAATAGGCTGTCTGTTTTTCAGGTTGGAGCTTGCCATCAGATGCACCTGGGCTCTGCTGTTCATTGTGCCTCATCTGCTTATTGGGGAGGTCAAGCCAATTGCTGCTGATTGTTGACGTCCACAATAAAATATGTGGTTTCTCAGAATTCACTGACGCTCATGCGGCTCATGCCGCTCCAATACCTGTCGCTACCAGGTAAGGTGGGGCTCGACTCAGCTTGGCTCTCCTTTCCACGCAGACAGAAAAGATGGTCAAACATGGCGGAAATACTCACTAAAACACAGATGTTCTCCAAAAAAAAAAAAAAAAAAAGGGAAAAAAAACCCAAAGCTTAGTTCAAGTTTCAGATCTAGCAGAAAAACTTTTCTTCATCGTTTGTCACCACACAATTGACTGGAGACTCAAGAATGTGGAAACGCTCTTTATTCTTCAACGTTTAAAAGAATAACATGGAATTTGGAAAGTAATAAAGCTGACATTCCAGGGTCCTACTAATGAGCTGCTGCTATCTCTTCTTTTTGATGTGCCAACTATTTTCGTTTTGTGTACATTTTCCTTCCATGATTTAGTGGCTGGCAAAAAAAAAAAAAAAAAAAAAAAAAATTCAAATTGGGAACCCCTTACCTTTTTAAAACTTGTGAGATTGACTGCCCTGTGTCACTTTCTGTTGATGGACTATCAGCCCATCTAATGTGTATTTATCCTGGTCAACAGAATGAAGCTGGAAGAGAATCCGAGTGATTAAAGCTGAGTGCTCACTAAAAAATGCATGTTTTTGCCATTTAAAACATCTCAGACTTAAGGCTGTAGCAATTTGAGAGAATGCAATATTAATATTTTATATCAATTTCTTTAATTTTTAACGGCTTGTAGTTGTTGACACCATGCTGCTCCCCTCGACCCCCGCTCCCAGGGTCCTCAGAATGACTGAGACTCTGAAAGCAGACCCCATTGCAACGCAAAAGTGGTGAATAACTCCCACTAATATTCTGGGTTTGAACATTTTAAATGACTATAGTTAAATCATAATGTTGTGAGTTGAACTTGATTGCACATAGCTTCTTCAAGGTCCTCGTAACTGTCATCACCCTGACTACGCTCTATTGCAGGTATGACACTGAATGCTGTTAATTACATTGGGCAACCCGAATTCAAAATAATTAAAATAATAAAAAAAACAAAAAAATAAACTAATACACCTGCTTTATTCCTGAAGAAAAAAGACTCATTGCACAGCATAACCAGTAATCATAGAGACGAGCCACAGAGCCACGTGGACACATGTATCAGATGTGGTCAGAGGACGTGTAAGCACATCTCAACCCTGTTGAAACCTCATCTGGACCAGACCATGATGCAACGAGACCGACTGGTGAGAGCGCGCCAGCTGTCCCGATGGGACTCAACCAGCCTCCAACCACATCTGACCCACAAGACTATGCCCAGAGTTGTCCAACTACAGTTAACTTTAGATATATGGCTTAGGCTGTACTGTGCCACACCCTGAATGACACCACACAGGAACAAACCCTCAGCAGCTTCCTCTGGTAATTACCACACCCACTCAAAGCTAGGAGACCTGCTGCAGTGGCTCCTTCCAGGAAATTATTCCGTTTTTGCCACTGGTGAACCTACAAAAAAGTAATGCAGTGCAGTCCCAAAAATATTTAATATTCTTGGGAAAAAGATATATATATTTTTTATTTATTGTATGTTTAATTATGGTATTAAAATGCATAATTAAGATTCATTCACTTGCTGTTTCAAATGAAGGATGATAGATTTTACTCTTGCACATATTAATTATTACAAAAGAAGAATTCAATAACCAACCTTGTTTAAGCCAACATTGACAACACAATGTAATTTAAACTTTAGAAGTAAATATTGTATGAACTTTCAAAAGTCAGACTGAAGTGTCAATCAATAGTAATTTAGATAATGGTTCCACATTACCAGCAGAACTAAACCATTCATGAACAAGAATCTAGCTACTAAGCAATCTTCAAAATTTTCATAGAGCGTATCATTCTAAAGGTAGATTGCTCAAAAAATATGATTTTGTTGGATCTTCAAATAAAGCTCAGACTTTAAGGGTAAGATAAAAGTCTTCCTCTTTCATGGATTATTTTATAAATAAAAGTTGGTTGATTATTCCTTTTGGTGTAAAAGACAAATGCCAGCCAACGGTTATAACCAAATTTATTCAAAGCCCTGGTCGATTTAGAGTTAGTTATTTTCATTCAAACAAGAAGTTTGTTTCCTGGGCAAAAAAAAGGACATCTCTCAAAAGACCATAAAACAACGTAATGAAATATCGATTTACATTAAAAAATGTTTTCATTTCTCAACGGTCTATAAAAAAGAAAAATCTTCATTGACATTCAAATGCTTTTTTATAAATGCTGGCAATCTTTTGCATGTTTCCTCTGGATTTTACCAATTTATGTTTGGTGATGAGCTACAATTCTCTAAGTCCAACTTCCCATCCCTGCAAAACATCTATATTATTTCCAAGTCAGAAGTAATGTTAGTCAAATTAAAAGATTAAACTTAAAAGCCGAACTTTGCCAGTGGTCTGATTCATTTTGGGCTCAACTGTTTGTTCTGTTAAACGCATCAATATTTTGAAGGCAAGGACTGAATCAGATGGCAGGAACCAATAACATTTCTTTTGTAACTTTTCTTGTCTATGAATTACTGTTTTAAACCAGTGACTTCCATAATGAAGATGCAGTGAACCATGAAAGAAAAGATCTGATATTTTTCTTTCGATAGCCAAGTCCAACTATACTTCCAACTTGTTTTTGTGTTGATAGTGTGTCTACTAACTTACTTGCATCAAGGTGTAAAAAAATATATATATATATATATATCTAGCATTTTACTCAACTTTCTGCATGTAACCCTCCAAATTTATTTTGCATTTTGCAAAAAAAAAAAAAAAAATTCACCAAGACCGTAATCAAGTGAATCCTTTAAACTTCAAAACCCCACACCGCAACTCTTCACCCATATCAGCCACAAATCCCAAAGCTTAAACACAAACTGACAACCCTTTCACCCGCTAAACCCCCCAGTCCCTCACCAACCAACACAAATTCTCAACATCATGTTGGGATGCAGGCTGAGAGGAGACAGACGCCACCACCAAAATACATCTGTTCTAAATAAGCACTTGACATCTCGGAAATTATACGCTTCCACATTTACCCGCTTCAGAAAAGACTGAGGACAGTAAATATACAGAGCTTTTAAAATGATGATTCAACAAAACCATCCCGTCTAAAGACAGATTTCTTATTGGAGCTTAATGGCAAGAATATCACAGAGACACTTTTTTTATTTATAGGATAGGACGGCTAGAGGACTTTAACTGCTCCCACAAAGGGAGAACTGTTTGCACTTTGAATATCCACAGGATGCTGAAATATAAACAGAATCCCAAAAAGACTGATGTGCATAATAAAGCTTTTTTGATGTAATTGAGTGTAATTTATTTGCATAAAAGTAGTATATACTGAGATTCCGTCTTGTCTGATCAAGCAGTATTACCAGAAGGGAAATCACAACAGTACAAGATCCTTCATTTAGATCTGGAAAGCCTTCTCATGCTGAACTTTTCATCATTTTGTATCCTGCCCTTCATCTTTAAATCTGTGTTCCCTCCATCTTGGATTTAATCAAATAATTAGCATGTGGTCTGACACACAAAACAAAACAAAAACCCTTCTCCAAAGTCAGTAAGGAAATGACAGATATCCTGTTTTTAGTGCAAAAATAATTCATTTTTCTCCACCACCCCTGATGTTGTTGATCCAGCCTTTTGCTTTTAATTACATTTTTTCTCTTTACTGTCATCTCCCACATAAAAAATCAAACAAAAAAAAAACTGGAACACATAATCCCTAAAGGAAATGTTTTTCCCAGTAAAAACATAACAGCATAATCAGGAGGGAGAAACTGCCTCTTTTAGACCCAATTTATGAGTTTGTAAAACTAGATTACTGTGTGCTCCTAGTGCCTTCATGTGTCTGAGTTTCAACACTCTCGGGCTTCTTGTGCTGTTTGCCCACTGGGTGTCTTCACATGCACTCTCACTAACCGAGGTCCGAGCACTGGACGACCCGAAGCTGGCAGTGGCATCCGAACGGACACATGGGAACGTCGGGAGTGAGGATCTCCTCCGTGGCTGAGCCTTCGTTCTGATCCCTCATCATCGACATCATCCCGCCGTCCTCCAGACTGTCCAGGGCAAAGTCCCAAAAGCCCCTCTGTTCAAAGGGCAAAGCGGAGGAGCTAGAGAGCAGCTGGGCTGCACACAGCAATAACAAAAGGGAGCAATGTGGCAACATCTTAGACGAAGACACCTGGGAAAACATGGAGAAATGGGAGAGCAGCGTGAGTTTTACTGAATCTGAATGCAGCCACACGGAATGCCTTTGATTCTCAAAACTTTGATTGTGACCCATAAAGACCCATTCATTAAACTGGAATAACACTAATTTTTAGGAATTGTATCACTAAATGAAACACATTATCCAGATGAATCACACACAGATGGATGTTTGAAAACCTTTATTTCTGCTAATTATGATTATTTCCCACTTACAACAAATGAAGACATACATTTTTAATCTGACAAACTGACCTCATCTGAATGAGGTCAGTTTAATGAGGTCATCATCTAAGTCTTTTTGTTTTATATTTCTGTAAAACAACAAATGTTCTGTAACCTTTGCAGTCCTTTGCATGCAATGGAGGTGTTTCATCATTCACACTTTAAAACCAGTTATGAAAAATCTTAATCATGCTTGGAAAACCTTTGGTAAAAAAAAAAACTGTTAAAATGGATTGAAAATGAGTCAAAGTGATGCATATTTTCTATCATGATGCATAGTTTTGGAAAAGGTTAAATTAACTGCTGCAAATGATCTCAAACTACTTTTTTTTTTCTTGACCTACGTCTGCAGGTGCAGAAGACTGCAAACTTATTGGAAATATACAGGTGATGCATTCAATGTAACATACAGACAGTGCCTCATTTCCAACGCTGTGACCCTCCCAACTGGGAAATCCTGTCACTAACGTGGAGTCAATGAAGTGGTCAAAGGATATTATGAAATGGTCTACTTATCCTTAATTACAAGGGCCCTACTGTTTACACCACACCTCACAAGCAGACTCGGGCTGGAGGCTAAAGAGGAGAAATGCACTCATTCCCCCGGTCCCACTTGCCAGAAAATGACCCAGCGAGGGAAAATGTCTCCTACTACCACACCAAATTTTCACTATCCGTCTGCTGCCCTCCAATGTTCCCGGCAAAGTGAGTCGCTTGCTCACTGTCCAATCAGATAGCAAAGAATGTATTACCTAAAATGATGGAAAGGTTTATTCTTTTAAATTGGGCTTTGCAACAAAGCAGGCCATTCACTTGCGAGGAAGTGTCTGGATATTGTGAAACACAGTCTCTATGATGTCAGAGTTGTGTGCACACACACGCACACACACACACACACACACAC